CAACTCCAGGTAACAAAAACCCTTAAGTTTTAATTCACTAAGCTCTTAAAAGAACGTCTTCTTTTTATTGCTGTGAAAAGTGTGACAGACGCCTCCATGATGACTACATTCTTAGGCAATCCAACCGCAACACATGAGATACCCAATCAGAAAAAGCACAGAACTATCAGAAACTGTATGTTAACGAAGTATACACCTTATTGCAAAATCGTGGCAATATTACTTTTCTTTTATATCTATGTTTCTCAGCCCTTTTTGTCCCCTTTGAATCTGCAGAATTCAAAGAAACTTTTACGTTGAAAAGAGGTTAAAGCCTCTTTAAAAAAATTATTAGCGTGAAAGAAGTGAAACACCTTCTAATTAGGACAACAGCGGCAAATACATATGCTGTAGTGCAGTTTTTATTGTTTCGTTTATTTCACTTCCGTGCCTATGTTACTTGCTAATAATCTGTCCAATCGCCAAAAAAGTGGGGAGGGAATTTTCCAAAAACAAGGGATCATTACCTTAAATCTTGATCATTGATATTGTAAAGAAATTCAGTGTTTTTCGTAATGCTGACCAAAAACGTAGGACTCATTAATATGAATTTATGATGCAAGCGTGCAGTTAGAGAAGAAAAGATCCTTATCCGCAGTCGAGTTTATGAAACCAAGTAAGGAAATGAAAACCTTTCTGAAGCCTCGTCTTCTCGCACTCCTATTTATACCCAATTACATACCTATGAAAATGGTAAACTTTATATATTCTTTAATTGTAAATAAATGTAATAATTTTGATGGCATCGGTTGTGTTCTGCTTCTTTTTTAGCCTCAGCCAAACCACCTGCTAGAGGGTCAGGTAAGCTCTAAATTGGCAACCCCTTTTTTTAAATTTGTCTTATCTTAAAAGGAGACGCGTCGTTCTGGAATTTTTCACTATAGAACAGAGCAATAACAAAGTTATCTCAGGTTTAATTTGAGAGGCTGATGTAGCGGTCAAGAGCCGGGACTAGAGAAGAACTAGAAAAGGATGACCATATTAGTTTCCATCTTAATTGGCCATTGCTTCACAAAGGACTGGATTTATGCTTTTGGCACAGCTAAATAGGATACGAATTTGGAAAAAAATAACGGCAGTTCGGTTGTTACATGGGGGGGACTGCCATATATGGGCTATATAGGTATGTGCCGCTGTGAACGGTATGGTTTCTCAAGTAGTTTACTCTAGGATAGGGTTTATAAATCAGAACATTTGAGTCTAGAATAGGGTATCATTTTTCAGGAAACTGATCGGTTGGTTGAAGATTTCATCTACACTAGGGAAACAGCTACTTTAGGATAGGGGGAATTTGGGGAGTTTACTCTAATATAGCAAATTTTGCTTGAACTAGTTCTGGTATAGATTAAGGGTTCCAGGGTCCCAGCGGCATATCCCCACCCAGAAATTCCTAAAGTACCCCCCCCCCCTCCCTGGCGGTTGTTAAAGCTTTCTCTTACGATTATTCGTTTTTTTGGTAGCATTTTAGTTATTCGTACTCTTTTCTTCTCCCATTCATAAGTAAAAGCCACAAGAATGTTTCAAGATCCAACTGTCATAGTAATAACATGGACAGTGAGAGATAAGCAAGTAATCAAACTGAGTCTCGAGATTCAGGAGGGAGGGGAGGGTGACTGGGCTCCTATCGCTGTTGCTACTGGTATGAATATTCATAAAAAGTGAAAGTGAGATATATGTTTCGATTGGACATGAGACGACCTGGGGAGGACAATCCTTCATACGTGGAGAGTAATTTAGGTAGGTCCGTCGAAGCATTCTTTAACTATTTATTTCGTTTAATATCAACATGAATGGTGATATCACTTAACTTGCATGCACTTAACTTTGTGGTGCTTTCGGAATATAAACATGCAAGTTATTTTTAGGGTTGTAGTTTATATCTTTTTTCCTTCGTTTTTTTGACCAAGTGTTGCCAGCTAAGAAAAACGTGGATACCATTAAGCGGCCTGACAATAAGGGAGGTTAGTACATGTATGTAATAAGTGGGGAAAAGGGTATTTATTTGGTCACTATTTGACATAACATTTACCCACTTTAAATTACATTAAATCTATTTATAGTGCCATCAAAAAGATGTAAAGGGTTTAACAAATCACTTTCAATCCTCTCCTCCCCAATAACCCTCCCCCCCTTTCTCACACTTCTAAATATAGTGTAAGCTCGATCATGGCAATAGAAGAATCCCCTCCGACTGACTGCGAAAGAAACAATATAGCGTTAACAAGGTAGAGGGAAAATGGTTAATGGATGACCAGCTTGGGAAGTCTCGTCTTTGACATCTTTTTAGGGAGGAACGCACTACAAAATAAACAACACCTGTTAATTTGATGTAGTATACTTCAAAAGTCGACTTAGTACCTGCTCTCATTTTGTGTTGCAATTATATCACCGCAAAGGAGAGACTATAGTATAGCCTTTGGTATCGAAGTCGGCCGTTGATCAAAGTTACGAAGCCTCAAGGTTGTTGTTGTTGCGGGGGGAGGGGGAGGGGGGGGGGACTTACAGGGCGTGTACTGTCGCGGTAGCCCATATTAGTCTTCCGGGCGAATATGCGCGGTGGACAAAAAGGTAACCCAAGATAATCATATAAAGAATATTGGGTGTTCCGTTCTTTTTTCGGTAAAACGCGATTAATTAAATTAGACGTTTTTAGTATATTTTTTCATCTGGCGGCACTGACATGATCCATATCTCAACAGGACTATCTGCTTCAGAATTATCTGGAATTGTCATAGGCGTTCTTTTACTAGTAATTTTGGCTTTGGCTGTTTACAAATTTTTGCTTAAATTGCGAGGTAAGATTTGTCTATGTTTGTCTCGTCGTTGACATAACGTTTTGCGGACTGCAGGCCAATTTGATCACTGCAATGAATTTCTACGTTTTAATTTTCCTCCAACTCTTTAAGTAAAAGGCGGTACGGGTGGAAGATCACAATGAGCGTGACCTATCCCCTGGTCTTCTTATGTTATGGTGACGTTGTCTCTAATAGTAAAAGCTCCTTTCACCTGAGTTACATTTTTCGCTCCCACTGTTCGTCCATCCTCAATTTTCTCTATGTTAAGAGAACATCGTTTAAAACTTACTTCAACTAATGCGAGGACCCGCTTAAAGTGTCCCTCTTTTTCTAATAATTATATCCTGAATCAAGAAATGAATATTTTTAGAAACAAGGATAACGAACCACTGAAGTGTTGTTCCTGTAAGTAATACTAGTCTTCATGTACTTCAATTGCATACATGTAACATGAAATCTACGTGATGTACAATGTATGTGCAAATTTTTTTTTTTTTGCCATAATAGTAATATTATGAATTCAGTCTTGTAGAAGTCTACGTATAAATATTTCAGTTTGAAAAATAAAATTATCTAGCACTTTGATACTCTCCTCTTTTTCTTTAAATTGCCAGGTAAAAAGGATGATCGGTAAGTTGTCTTACGTGTACCGCAAACATCTCTTAAAGAATTTCCTGACTTTTGCCTAGATGCTCTTTATTGCGAGGGATCTTAGATAATTGTTCCGGACAAAAATTTCAGTCCAAAAAGACTTTAAAAACAAGCATATGACTTCGCTTTCTTTTCTTTTTCAGTGAAAATAAAAAGGACGTGGAGTCAAGAGTAAGTGTTGGCGAAAGGATTAAGCTAAAGTCACCCATGTTTGAAAATTCTAAATTTGAATAGTGATGTACTATTAAACGCTAAAAGCGCATTCAGTTCTTCGTTCTCCAGGCCTTATTTGAGCCATCAATCAAATCGCACTTTGATGGTTTCCTTTCTGATTTTGTTGAGATCACTTCGTCTGTATACTAAGACAGTCAATCTTGGTGAAAAGTGGATTTTAAAGAATAATCGTAAATTATTGGAGAAATGTTGACTGAAGAGCTAATGTGTCCCAGTATACTCAAGCAGTTTAAGGCCTGGGACTAAGGGGTTTACCTGAGGAAAATGAATTATTGGCTATAACTTTCGCATAGATGATGGCACTGAGTCAAAATTTGGCACAAGTGAAAAACTCATCGTTCTTCACATTTTACAGTATGAATATTGTGTTAATAAGTCACGTGTTATGTCACGTGCCTATTTTTCTAAAAATTGTAAATATAAATATTTCTAACACTTCACGTTTAGAATGACCGTCCATTGCACTTCAACAAGAAATTATGAGGAAAAACATCATTTTAAATGCCCAAATTTAATCTTGAATTATTTAAAACTTTAGTTTTAAGCTTCGCGTACATTCATTCCAAAAGTAGAAAGTTAGGCATGTTTATCCTCTTCCAGAAATGCCAATTTGTTTATCCGAACAAGATAAATTCGCCACCATTTCGCGGCGGTGTCAAATGAGAAATGCTAGCGGCCACCAATGCAAGGTGAAAAGGAGCGGCAGTGAAAAAAAAGTGAACGAGAATACGTATGACATTTCCTCCATAAAACGTGTAACTAAGAAGTTTCTAGACGTTTCACGTTGTAGTCGTTCAAAACAACGGCAAAGAAATGTACAAAAAAGTTTGCTGCACCTGCAAAGTTGCTTTTTTTTTGCTAATTAGACCCATTGCTGTTTTTCACCGTTCTCCGGCGTTGCCTTCGCTTCGCTTCGCTTCGTTGCCTTTGCCTTCCAGCTATATCATAACAAATGCAGGATACTGGCTGAGCTCCCGGGCCTTCTTAAAAATAATTTTAAGAAGGCCTCCTTGGTGACCCCCGTGCCCTGCTCTACCAATTATTGAAAATAACATCCGCATCAGCAAGAAACTTGGGCTTATTGTATACACTTGGTGCAAAAGCTCCACTGCTGATGATCTTTTTCTTTTCTACTAGAGCAACGTGGTGGAAATTGAAGGTGAACGGAGCAGTGGAAATTTACCTTCTGCCTTTGGTCTTAGTAATAACATGGAATTAAGAGGAATTCAGCAGCCCCAGCAACAAGAGGCAGAGCTAACAGCTTACTTGGAGCCTAGTGACTATCCAGAAAATCAATCCTGGGAAGTGCCCAGAGTAAGCATTTTCATAGAAAAGGTGATTGGTCAAGGTGCGTTTGGACAAGTTGCTAAGGGGACAGCTTTACAGCTGCGAGGGGTAGAGGGAACGACAACAGTGGAAATAAAGATGTTAAAAGGTAATCAATAAAGTTGAGTACAGTATAATAAAATGGGGTGGGGGCAAATCGGATCACTTAATGTACTTATGATTATGAGTTTGATTATGATTGGGTGCTGTATTATCATTATTCTCAGCTTCTAGTGAGAAAACTAATTCTGCCTTCCAAAAAATTTCTCCGTAATCTCAGAGGGACATATAATTCCACAATATTAAAACAGTCCACTGAAAAACCCACTTCTGAAATATGTGACCATTCACCGATCATTCCTACTCTATAAGCTGTTCCAAATGAAGCTAGCTTTCTTTTGGGGGAGAGCCTAGGGCACCTCTTGTATGACCTCCAAGTCCTTTCTATTTCAACACAATAAGAAACTATTGCTGTCACCAAATTAAATCATGCATCTTAACCAAATCTTGCAGTTGACGCCCGCGATTCTGACAGGACGGACTTGTTATCAGAGCTTGAAGTGATGAAGACGTTAAGCTGTCATCCACACGTCATCAAGCTACTGGGATGCATCACTGAATCTGGTAACAGAAAAAGCGTTCATTTTCAATAATCACTCAGTCCAAAATTCAGCTGCTAACTTTTTATTGAGTTGGTTCTTTTATCAGGGTATGTTATTAGTCCAGAACGACCCTGTTACTCGTTTTGAAGTCACTTCTCCCTCAACATTGTGTAATGCATTTATTGAAGTCCTGCTAACAATAGTCCGAAGTGATTGTTAATTTATGAAGTGACTAATACAGTCGAACCTCTCTAATACGGACACCGAAGGGACAGAGCAAAGTGTCCGTATTAGAGAGGTGTCGGTATAAAAGAGGTCACTGCGATGACGTCACTTCTATGACTCCACTTACAGTTTTAGTGGTCAGTAGCTAAAACCGGGCTTACACACTTCTTTAAACTGCATTCAAATTTATTAACTCACAGTACAAAGACAGTGTCTTTCTAGCATACAACATTGTACATCTCAGCTATAAAGTAAGTACAGTCGTAGACAAATCACTGTTTTAAAACGAAATGAGCTACAGCGCAATGCTGCGAGTAAAAAGTTGTTTCGTAAATCACAATTCTGAAAGCGTCTTTCTATATTTTGCAAGTGTAGTAAACAGTAACTAGAGTAGTAAATGTAACAGAAAATATCTTTATGCTATCTGTAGTTATCCAAGCTTTAAAAAAGTCGGTTATGGTCCTCTGTACACCTTTCGAAAATCGTTGTTTGATATACAGCGACTGGGCTTTTGAAATCACCTTGCATGGGTCATCAGCCAGACGGGATTCACCCTGTGCAGATTCACCTGATCGGGAATCTGAGTCACCTGATCACAACAGTGTCCGTAATAAAGTGGTTAAGTTTATATGAATTTACTCTCTGGGGCCGAGATTTAGTGTCCGTTGTCCGTATTAGAGAGAGTCCGTATTATAGAGGTTTTGTTAAAGAAAATATATGAGAATTTTGTCGGGACATTGAAAACTGTCCGTGATAGAGAGGTGTCCGTATTAGAGAGGTGTCCGTACCGAGAGGTTCGACTGTGTTTTGAACCGCGCATAAAGATACGAGAGTGGAAATGATCCATTTTCGGGTATATTACGAACCCACATCGGCGTCCTTTCCAGTTAGCTTGATTAGCTCAATGGATAGACCATTGCGTCCGGCGTTTCGCAAGGCGAGGGTTCGATTCCCAGTTAAGCCTGAATTTTTTTAGCTTCTTTAATTTTGCAAATGCTTAGGTTGTTTATTCAACTGCTAGGATCATTTCCACACTCAATAATATGCAGAACTAGCGCAACGTTTTTCTTCTATTCAAACTTTTTCTTACCGCTGAATGCACAAGGTTAGTTAACTTATCTGCATAACCTTTCCATTTGTTGAAGTTAATAGTTAAATTGACCAAATTATAGCTTGAATAAAAGAAATATGTAAAAACTATTATATAGACTGATGGTAGCTCATTGCCAATGTTTATATACTTGTTCCGCAGACCCCATTCTTGTAATCACTGAGTACGTTCCATATGGGGATCTCCTGGGTTACCTAAGAAAAAGTCGTGGACTTAATGACACGTATTACAAGGACTCTGATTTCAAGCCGCAAACAACTCTGACGTCACAGCAACTGATGAGTTTTGCCTGGCAAATTGCTGATGGAATGAGTTATTTGTCTTCGAAAAAGGTATGTTAGCGTACTGGAATGGTTCCTTTAGTAGTTTGGTCATTTGTTGACAATATCAGAATTTTTATCTGTTTGGAAAATTGTAACACCACGCTGAGTAGTATTAAAGACGGCTAAGGATAACTGAGGAAAAATTTCAAATTTACCGTCGAGGAATTAATTTATTATGTGGACTGACGTCACTATAATTTGATTGCTCTTAGATTGTTCATCGTGATCTTGCGGCCCATAATGTATTGGTTGGAGATCAAGAAATTTGCAAAGTGACAGACTTTGGAATGGCCAGAGATGTGCACCAGGAGAATATTTATGAAAGAAAAACGAAGGTTCTCGTTTCGTTTCTGTTAGGGATGTATTATAAAATGTTATCCTGCACTGAGGGGGCCTGACAAAACAGCCAACATTTCGCGACGCCACGAAGGCCTTCTCTGCGGAATGGCTTCAAATGTTCAGAAGCTCTACTCTGATATGGGTAAGGACTCATCATCAGTAAAGAATTTCTGCGCTCGTTTCACCGACGACCTTTTGCGGGGAAGTGTCGAAATGCGGGCTGCTTTCTCAGGCTACATTTGTTCCTGAAGATATGCAACGAATACGGATAAACATGTCTTTGCGTATGACTGATACATTTTCACACATAGTCTTGCTGCTACGGGGAAGAGTTGAGCTGTTTTGCGTATTCGTGACTACAGAATACATTTTTCTCGCATTTTGCCATTTGGATATAGTCCTTAAGCCGGCTTCTTAGTCTAAATGTCGTTTTTCACGCATATTACTAGTATTGCTGCCAGAGGGAGGTGTTAAGCTATTTTGCGTATTCGCAACAACAGAGTAAATTTTTCTCGCATTTTCCACTCGGTTGAAGTCATTGAATCTCGCTTCTTCGTCTAAATGTCATCAATTCATCTGCTTTGAGTTAAAAGGAAGCAATAGATGTGTCGGTAATTTGTGTATACCTTCTGCTCAAATTTAAGCTGCACTAAGATTGGTTTCTTTTTGGTGACTTCGATTAGTCACTTGTGACTACGATTGTTATGTTTTTTTTCGTTACTATGGCCAATAAAATGTCAGAGCATTTTAGGAGCCACCGACAAAAATAGCATGAGTACATTTACTGACAAGACATACTAGTAAGAACAACAACTCACATTAAATTTAATTTTTATATACACACAACTGCATCCAAGTTAGCACCGTATGCAACCGTAAAAGTACATGCGTTGCAGAACCTAGGAAAGCTCAGGTTAAAGGCCAATGGTTGGTCCATTCCTGCTGTTCTTAATTCGTAGTCCTCGATGACAGAAACCTCACGAACTGGCCACAGTTGTTCAAAGGTGGATAACGCTATCCATTGGATAAATCTTTAACCACGGAATAGCGCAATTGGTTGCACAACGCTTATCCGCTGGATAGTGATTTATCCGGTAGATAGCGCTATTCAACGTTTGAGCAACCCGGGCCCGGGTTTCGAACAGTACAATTCTTGCTCATACTGTGGCATATTTGAGCGTTCCCTTCCCTTTTATGGTCAATGAATCAGTTTTTTAAAAGTTCTTTGCTTGTTTCTTTCATTAAGGGGCGACTTCCTGTAAAGTGGACCGCTTATGAAGCATTAATGTACGGGCAGTACACGACAAAAAGTGACGTGTAAGTACCTCCAATCCTCGCACACTGCGCTCTTTAGTTTCCTTTATATTAAATTGTTCTGCAACAACTTCAACTACACAAAAACGTTTCTAGGTATTTGCCGAATTTGCGTATGATATAGAAGTACAGTCCAAAAGTAGTAGACAAATCGAATCCAAAAATTCTTGTTATGCTATCATTCAAGCATTTGCAAGTTTATTAATAAGGTACATAGGCAAGTTCCGTGGCGATTTCATGACATCAACAGATGATGTTTTCCTCAGTTGTCGATATTCACTGCATTGCCAGGCAGCTGAGCTGCTGCTCAACTTCTCGTTGCGTGACGTCAATTGTCCACTAATTTTCTTTTTCCTCTTTTTTCCCCTTCCTTCTCCCGCTCCTGGCCCAATTTTGAGTAACACGTAAATGTTTGTGCGCGTACATAGTGTAATTGAACTGTTATATCTCAACATTGACTAGGGGGGACGTTGGGGATATTCAGCAAAAGACAAAAATCCTAACTATTGTTAAGTTGTACAACCTTCTCATCTATTTTTGTCCGTGGTTGTTGTCGTAAAATCAGGCAAGAATCATAACTTGAATGGCTATTTATAATTACAAATGTTTCTTACATTTTTTTTGTTATTCAATCGCAGCTGGAGTTTTGGAGTGGTACTTTATGAAATAACTACCATAGGTATGATTTTGACCACGATACTGCTCTTCTTCTACACAGATAAAAACCCCTCAAACCCTATTCAGACCGGGAGGCTTTTGAGGCCCCCCTGAAAATTGAAGCTGAATAACTTTAATACCGTCTAAGGCCCTGTTTGCGCTACGACGAAAACGTGGAATTAGCCTGTGAACAGGCTCTCTGTTTGGGGAAAAATAGCAAAAAAACGATCTCCCCAGTCCCCCGCTCGACCAAAGGCCTGTTCACAGGCTAAGGTGGAATCTATTTGTTGACAAGAACGCTCTAAAAGCGTTAAAGTCTTGATTGCTTGGAGATAGATAAGAAGTGAGGAGGCCATTTATTCTACACGAAACGAGATTTCCTCGCTGAAGTTTTTCACTTCATTCTTTATTCTCCAGGATGTTTACTTTTTGTATCGTATTTGACGATGATTGAGTCGTGTATAAATAAACAAATTAAAAATCGAGAGAGATTACATCATTGCAAGAGAAAAAAATAGTCCTCTGGGAGGACATGAGCTTACTGGCAATGAATAGTCTGTGCAAAGAAAAGGGCAATGACATGTTGCTATAGTCAGAAGCATAAACATTTGTAACGCGTCGTGTGCTACGGGGGAAATTATTTTACAAAGACAAAAATTAAACTTTTTCACTCAGTGCACTTTGTTTTTTCCAAAATTTTTGTTTTCTATTGCCAATATACGCAACAATACGTTTGCCATGCGTTATCTGTGGAAAACGTATGTAACGAAACATCGCGACAAGTGACAACAGACCGAATGCCCATCGAAAACCACGCGCTTGCAAAACCAAATCGTTTTTCAAGGCACTTACGTTCTGCAGTGCCGTGCAGCACGTAATTAGGTAAGTTCGGCAGCCACATACAGGCAGGGTTAAAACTTCAAGAGAAATTCTCGAATTGAGTTTGGCCAGATTTATGTTGCTATTTCTGTCCATTCGTAATTGCTTTATGTGTTGATTGAGTTCCACTAGTAATGAATATTTTTCAATCTTCTGTAGTATTAAGTGTGGAAAAATAGAAACGCGAATGTGTCGCTTTTACTATGTAAACATTCAACTAAATTGTCACAAATTTACATAAATTCAAAACATTTCATATTTATAATTTATAATTTATTAATCAGTTTATTGACCAGATTACCACCAAAAGTGGCAGGGCAGCCCGGATAGAAAGCCATGGGGCTTATTACATTCAGGCTACCCATTTAAAGACAAATTCAAAGTTATTTATGTATACATAAATGACAAGAATAAGCTAAGTATAAGTAATAAGGTTAAGAGGTATAATAATCTATGGTAATATGGTAATTTTGCTATGACATTTGCGTGCTTAATCTTGGACAGACAGTCATAACAACGCTTTATAAGACAAAGACAGGAAGATAGCTAGCCTGCGTGGCTGGCGTTTGAAAGGGAAGGGAAAGGGAGTTTTAGGAAAGGGAGTTTTGGGCGCGAGAGAAAAGCGAGGGGCGCGCCAGGAAGGAGGGAGGGAAACGCCTGCCAGGAAACCATTGTTTTTCTCCTTATTAACATCTACCAGGCGAATATTAAAATCCTGATTGGTCAAAATTTGATAAGATCTAAATAGCGTGTTCTAATAGGTCACATACATGTCATTCAGTAACTTGAGTGTTACCATTCACAACTAAAAATTTGTCGTTAGTGAAGCGTGTTGTGATTTCTCTACGGGAATTCATCAGTAGAAGGCATCAATTTCACCTTCAAAAGAGAATAGAAAAAAGCAGTTTAAAGAACCGTATGAAGGAAAAGGCCTGTCAGCAGATGAGGTTTACTGACTGGTTCTGAAAAGTATTATCCCCCAACGGCTTGTCGGTTTTACTCGCCAGAAGAAAGAAACGAAAAATCATGCTGCCTGTGTGCTTGTTATCTGCTGTTTGACCCGCGTTATCAACGGCAAGATAATTGAAGACGAAGCGATTTATAACTTTTGGCAATTTTTGGTCGAGGACTTCTTCTTGCCGGTTATAAAACCACCAGGAACTTACTTTAATGATTAATTGTTGCCTTCTTGCAGATCTTCGAAGTTCAGCTCTTCTTTCCTTGCAACCAGCGTTCTTTAGTGTGCTCGGCTGGCTGCGTGACAGCAAAGTGTTTTAATTTTTCTTAGACAAACATTGCATTGAAAGTTGCGAAGAGCCGCTACATTTCTTATTAAATAGTTTTCCAGTCCGATTCCTTCAGCAACAACTTGAATAGATTTATGCTGGATTTATGTAACTCGGCACGGGTCGTTGCAACTTTCAAGGAAGATTCCTTCGATGGACGACCGCATTTCAACTTTTTTATAGTACCTTTACTTTAGATTACTTTAGGAAAACAAAAGAAAAACAGTGCGAGAAATACGACTAGAATACGTGCATCGTGGCCAGACTTATCTGACAGCTAGTCATTCACAGTTGCGTTATTTTTGTTATTTTTTTAATTAGTAGGCGGGATGGCGAAAACAATGGCTTCCTTGCAGGCGTTCCCCTCCTCACTCCTCCCTCGCGCGCCCCTCGCGTTTCTCTCGCGCCTAAAACTCCCTTTCCCAAAGCTCCCTTTCCCTTCCCCTTCAAACGCCTGCCACGCAGGCTAGAGGATAGCGGGTATCGAGCACAGTCCCTTCGGCTCCGAAGGTTACGCTTTAGCGCACGTACGGGCACAGTAGAACATGGCGCGTCAATTCAATCATCGCCTGCTCATCACGAGCTCATTTGCATACAATGAAAGTAGTCATGATTCTTATCCCCAGTTTCCACCGTCTGTGTTAGGAACGCTGGGAGCAGGCCCCCTGTTTGCGACGGACCGACGGAACAACAACAACAACAAAAACTCTTGCATTTTTAGAGTCTCGCTGTGCTAAGGCAAAGTCGACTAATAGGCAAGTTTCGTATTCCCCGACGGCCCTGGGACGAGCACGATTGCGAGGCTAATGCGGGTCAACTTCTTTGCAAAAACAAAAACAAACATAGGCAATTTGCCGTTGAGTGGCTGGAAAACGATAGAAATCTTTAAAATTGTAAGATTTCAAAGCTTAAAATTATCAGTAAGGCAAAGGGATAGCTGTTGCAAACAGCAAAATTGTTGGACAAGCTGATCGCACTTAACAGAAGAAAGGAGAAAAGCGACGAAGCCAAAAGAAGAAGTAATTCTTAAGCTTGAAGAGGGTAAAGTTTGTTAATGTGACAATATTTTATTCCCTTTAATTATGATAATCTTACTTCTTAGTACTTCTATTTTTCTCTTGTGAATATCTGTGCAATGGAGTTTAAACTGCTCATAGTCTGTATAAGATTCTGTGTTCGAGTTCTTGTCGAGTGAGATGTGCGTACGTTTTTTGATAAATAATGCAGGATAAATGTAAGCTTATGTATAAATAAACTAATACTATTTTATTCATCTTCGTTTAAACCGATTTAGCTTCCTTACAGTGCAAGGAATTTATGCAGAATGTCTGCCGCGTCGGTTTATTTTCTTTCAAATGCACAAGATTTTGCATTCGCTTCGTTGGAAAACATGTCAACTAATTAAAAAGAAGGTTTCAGTTTAACTTGCAGGCTTCGACAAGTACCAACACTCTAATGGAAGGTATGGCTTAAAGAAGTTTTAACCATCACTGAAAATAACTTTAAAACGGCTACAGGGTTTTACCTTGTTTAAAGGATTTTGAAACCATCTTCGCAGTTTTATTGAACTCACTCACAGACCACTATTTCGGTCAATTTCTGGTTAGGCTCGTTGTTTTTCTTAGCGATGACGAGCTGATTTTCGATTTGCTCTTTGAAACAACGATTTCTCCAGCCTGTAAGTAAGTTTTGAGACCTTCAAACCTTTCAACGTTTCAAATTTTTCTTTTTTAAGGCAACTCAGCCGCAGTTTTCTCATGTTTGTTTGTCTTCTTGGTGAGAAGTGACCCCTGTTAGCCTCGCCTTCGCGCAAAAACAAGCACTCGTCCTAGGCCGCCCGGGAATACGAAACTCGCCTATTAACTTAGTGTTGGACATCTATGTTACAGTCAATTGACAGCTGTGTCAAAAAAGGTATCCGCTGAGCAATATCAAATGACTGTATTGCGGGCTCAGGTATGCAACTCATTGAAGTGACGTATTTTTAAGGTCATCCGCTGACCAGTTTGTAGTTTTTAATTTTTCGCGGACTCAGATCAATTTGTTTCAGTTTGCTTTCATCCTCGGGGACTGAGGGGCACTTAATCGGGACTATAGAATGTTCGTGGTGAAAGTTTACTGTAAGATCGAGAAGCGCCTCTAGGCACTTACTCTTAACTGCTTCTGATTGGCCAGAAAAAAATTCTGGTCAATCAGCGAAGAGGAGCAGCTGGGTGACTCTGGTGCTTTCTTGCACGACGTATTTTTTCCTCATCGATCGTCGTAGTTGCGTAGCGCGTTCAACTGGGAACGTTTCTCGAAAAGTTGAATTACTTGGGAAGGAAATTTCTTAAAGGATCCTTCGAGAGCTTCGCTTTTGGTCTTGGCTAAATCTGTATAGTTATAAGTGAATCCAGGCTTTTATGACAGATGCTGGGTTCAATCAGGGGGGGGCCCACGACTCCAATAGCGCCTAGTACTTGTTTCGTGTACCTATGATCCACCGATTTATGACATCACATCCGGTTGCAGAGTTGCTGCTCTGTTTTCGCGCGAAGCACCAAGATGGACGCCCGATGCCATTTGGTTTTCTCGTTATTTTAACCCACAGGCTAACGGAATTATGTATCTTGAATGCTGAGAATGTTGAGAAGGTATCTAGCCGGCCTTTCAAGCAAATGTCATGACCAAACAAAGAAGTTTTAGTATTATTTTAACGATAAATATCATGCAACTGCGGGGAATGTCATGGCGAGTCTTACGATGTTTCAAAACGAGTGTCGTTAACGTTTTGCGGCTTTTGCGGCGTCTGATTTAGAGAAGTCATCAAACAAAATATAATTTCCTGAGCGGAAAAGAAAGGGGAAAACGCCGATGGCCACAGTTTAAAGTGTTCACCGCTGGAAGGCTGCATCACGCCCCATAAAGTTGCAAAATCTTCTACTCAACTGCCTGGTTTTGAGGAATGTCATGGCGAGTCTTTCGCTCTTTGTAATCGAGCGTCACTCAAGAGTTTGGCTTTTGCGGCTTCTGATTCATCGAAGTCATCAATCAAAATTGCCTATCCTGAGCGGAATGGAATGAGCAAAACGCCGGTGGTCATAGTTTAAAGTGTCAACCGCTTGAAGGCGTTATCACTGGACGTAAAATTGCTGAAAGCTCTACCCAACTGTCCTGTCATGGCGAGTCTTTCGCTGTTTCAAAACGAGTGTCCGCTCAAAGGGTTGGCTGTTGTAGCTTCTGATTTACCGAGATTGTCAAACAAAATAGCCTATCCTGAGTGGAATAGAATGGAGAAAAAGCTGATAGTCACAGTTTAAAGTGTTGATTGCTGGAAGGCTTTATCACTCGTCGTAAAGTTGCTCAAAGCTCTTCTCGACTGTACGGTTTGAGCAATGTAATGGTGAGTCTTTCTCTGTGTCTAATCGAGCGTCACTCAAGATTTTAGCTTTTGAATCTTCTGATTCACCGAAGTCATCAATCAAAATACCCTATCCTGAGCGAAGTACCGTGGAGAAAAAAACCCTATGGTCACAGTTTCTGTGTTAACAGCTGGAAGGCTTTGCCAGTTGACGTAAAGTTGCTGAAAGCTCTACTAAACTGATTTCGAAACGGTCACATGTTGCGAGCTTCTGGAAGGTTAGTGTTGGATTTTTAGCATTTAAAGAGTTTTTAGCCTTTGAAGATTTATGTTTAGAACAAGAGTTAAGCCCAAAAGTAGTCCAATTTGTCATTATCTGAGAGAAATCAAGAAAGTTTGTGCCCTTCCTTTTTTTTTAAGCTTGCAAGTGTAACATACATGAAAAGAAACCCTTATGCACTACTAGTCATATTGTTAAAATGACTAGTTTAAAATTACTCCTTATCTTAACTGATAACTACAACACTTATTTAAAAATGTATCGCTCCCGAACATGTGTTGATTGGTTCTTGACCTTTACAGTTGAAAAAAAAAAATACCACGATTTACAGTGATTATAGTTATGCAATTAATTAGTAAATTAAAAAAGAATGTAATTAAAGTGAAAAAAGAAAACAGCTGTTTCAACTGTTTTAGAGGTTTGAAGTTCTGAAGGGATCACTAGAGCTGTAAAATGAGACTCAATAAGAGGTCTAGTTACTTTAGAACACATTAGAAGTTTCCTGGAGCAAAACACATATTTTGGCTTGGTAATTATTATGAATTAAGTGTCAGTTAGCTAGGGTCATTCATAATGCTGTACTGCACCTTATTTTATCTGACGATTATCTAAGGTATAAAAAATAAATTTTGTGTATTTTTAAAGACTTCAATATATGCTTACTTTTGAATTTATAAACAATATATATTTAAATCCTACACTGTAAGTCTGGTTGTCGGTGTAGCCTGTGTCGCAGACATAATCTTTTGCCAGTTAGTAACATCTGCAAAGCCGTGCCAATATTCTGGGCTGCCAATCCGAATGTGTTTCGATATTCCTTCAACCTGATTGGCACACTGACAATGGTTTTTAAGAGGCCAATCATAGCACATATGCAAGTGCTAGTTCACAGGTGGGCCACGAAGGGTGCCCAGAAGCAGGATTTCAGTGCTGTCTCACAGGGGACTTAACCAGAAGTTTAGTTCTGTCTGTGGCACAGGTTAGTCCTCTGGGCATTAATGTTTAAATTATGTGTTTTATTTTGCTTAGCTGGGAAGACAAAAAATAGATGACAGAAGAGCACAAACAAGAGAATATTAAGAAGTAACAAAAAAAGTATATCTACCACACAACTCGTAAAGAGAGGTGAAAGTCCATGAGGACAGAAATGTTGTTACAGAGCCATAAAACATTAATGTTAAGTACAACTCACTGTCAAATAAGTTAAAAGGAAGGAAGAATGCTGACATTTCGAGGAATACACTTTTCTGGTTTACGGAAAATCTGCAGCAACAGAAGACGCTGAAATCATGTTGAGCTGGTTCAGGATGTCAATTCTGTTTAGGTGGAATCCTCTGACAGTGTCTAGGCCAGTGTACAGTAGTGTGCTTCGAAGCTCGTCCTTGGTAAGACATCTCCTGACTTTACATGCCAACTCTCTTTTAAGGACCTCAAGGCTAAGTGTCTGTTTCCCTGACATTCACTTTCTTGTCAGGGATCAGCAAAGTTTAACTAGACGACTGTGTTAACGGTAGTTTTTTTTGTAAGACTTAAAAAACTTCACAGGAAAGACTGAAACTAATGATCTTGCACTAAGCAGCTTTGAAGAAATCAAGGTTTCTGGGGGGAGGCTGTGCTGCACATATTTCCCTTGGAGATAAGAAGGCACCCTGGATGCAACTATAGGAAACAAAACTAACCTTGAATTTAATTGAGTATTCACTCACGTGGCTTATTAGTTTGGGACACCAACATGGTCTCTGTTTCATTGTTTTGGGACACCAGTATGGCCACCGTGACATCATGTGAATACTCTCTATACTTCAATCAGTTTCTCATGTTTATTTAATTTTCCATCCCTAAGCATTCTGTTCCTCCTGTGGAAAGGAGTTGGTGGTTGTGTTATGACAACTTCATCCCTCAGTGTTCTTCATCCCTTGATTAATCAGTCAGGGTAAAGGATTGTTAATATGATCCTGATTAGAGAAGAAAGCTTTTATTAAAGGCACCATGGTCTAGAAGACCAAAATAAATGTAAAACCCTATCTGACCTCATTGACATGGAGAAACAAAAAAGGGATTGGCTGACACCCAGCATAGTGATGTGCAGTATTAAGCTCAACAAGGATACAGGAAAAATCCACAACTAAGAAACTGGTTTATAAGAACCTGTCAGGCTAAAATTTTCCAGTTAGGCTGTCTTTATAAAAGAGCACTCAAATTTGAAACAGGTTATTGATCATAACCATTACATTTTCCTCAAATTTGATTGGTGTATTAACTGCTTTATTTTTCTTTAATCATTGTTTATAGTTGCCTGTAATCGGACAGTTATGTTAGCCAATCATATTAAATGCACTCAGCTAAATCCACCAATCACAGAAGTTATCACGATAACCATAGCAACAATCACTTACCCAAACAAACTGGGGATTAATCCAAAATGGATGAATATGCAACATTTAGGCAGTGTCTCGACCAGTGATATTTTCCCTTATTTTGGACATTTGGTATGAACAAACACTCTTTCACCAAAAAGGAATGCATCTATTTTCTTGGAATTTGTAACGGTTATAATTAACTGGTAACAGGACTTTGTGTCGTCCAATTTAAACTGTAATCACACTCACGATTAAACAAATCTGACTCCTGCTTCGCGGTTGTTCAAGTTTGTAACACTTGTATGATTACAGACTTAATCAGTCCTATTACCATTATTTATAAAATCTCTTAGAAAAAACTTCTGCACAGTGTACACGTGGGAAAGTAAGATAAGTCAACATTCAGTGTCCTCTTTTGAGACATAGGTGTCTAATAATATTTATTATTACTCCGACTGCAGTGTGATGGCATACAGGTTTTACATATACTAAGGAAAGAGCTGAATGCCACTAAATACTTTTAGCTCAAAGCTACAAAGTATTTTTTTTTTCAGAAAATAAGGACCTATTTGAGACTGAACCTAAATAAACTAAATCTGTGCTTATTAGTTTTTCTGTAAGAACCTGACTTGTTTAGGCTAACTTGGGAAAATACAGGTTCTTAGTTGCAGGTTTTTACTAGTAATTAAATTTGATGGAAAAAAGATGATCAAAAATTAACATAGCCAGATGAGCTTATTTACAACTCCATTTTTCAGCCCTGCAATTTATTTAAGGCTGTCTTTTAAACGAACCACAAGAACACCATGTATTTTTATTTTCATCTTTAATAAATTCCAGACTATTTAAATGATCTGTTTAGAAAATCCTCTTAACAGATGGAATAGCAAAATGTGAATTAATAAATCCTTTGATCAAACTGTCTTCTGCTTTTCTCTTGCCAAACCATCTTTCCCTACAGAGGAGCAAAGGTTGTAGCAAATCAGAAAAATAAAACAAAGACAAGAGGCTACACCTGAAACCCCTCTTTACTGTTACTTTAACACCCAGGGAGAAGGTTATGGTACTTCTATACAGGTATGTGCCATGGAATAGGGAGTGGGTTTTGAGATGATCAGTCTTTATCATACACTACTTGGCTTGGCTTTCTGATCCTTTAGTAGGGTTCCTTTGTAAAATTATACTAGCTCACCGTCAGTACATAACCCTCAGGGGTTTCAAAATGTTTTAAAGTAGGCAGCCGAATCTGGAGGCTGGGGACACTGGAATTGCTGGCAACATACAATCAAGGAGCCGATGGAACTCCGGTGGTCACCGGCTTGTTTTGAAACCACTGAAACCTCTGTTTAAAACTGAAGATACATTGATGGGATCAAGATATGAACTTGAGCCGAGAGCTACTGAACAATAAAAAAACACTCTTTTTATGCAAATCAAGCCGTTTGAAGATTGAAATAGGAGTGTAAACACTTTTTGACACAAAAAAGATGTTTATAATTATCTACATTTACCCAATATTTCCTAGACCTTCACTTGTTGGGGATTGTGTGTTAAAACAACTTGGACATTGCATTGAAACCCTGTTGTCAAGGATACAACTAAGAAGAGATGGTATATATTTGACTGTATTTTTCAGTAGATACTGGAAAAGAATCAAAAATGCATTGTGAATCTAAGCATTAAGATTTTGAGCCAAATACAGGATTAAAGGACGTTAGTCAAAAACAAGGAATGTGGATATTTTTTTTGGAAAAAGGAAATAAATACAGCTTGAATGTCTCAGGGCTGGTTTGCACGTTTCTAAAATTCATACATCTAATTTATTGAAAATATTTGGATGTTTTTTTTAGAACAATAATAATATCATTGATCAATCAAATAAAGTAGGTGAATAAAATTTCAGTATTTCCTTTAACACTAGAAGAAAAACTGTTGTATACATACTAATTATACACAGCTGTATATCATTATTATTATGGTTCAATTTTATCCCTGGATAATTTTAGTTTTTCCTTTCTGTCATGCTCATTATCATACATTTTCATACCCAAAAACACAGGAAAAATTTAAATTGAAGTATAAAGCAGAAAAATAAAAATACTGTCCATGTATGGCCAAAAAAAAAAAATGATCACTGACTCACTCAAAGCTGCACTGGGTGACTGTTTGTCCTAAAAAAAAGGTTTGAACTAAGAAGACCACTGTCAACCTTATTAAAAAGTTACAGAGTAAAAACATTGTTATTAGGAAACAGAAAAACCATTCTACTGAAGTGAATTAATGCAGTATCCTTCAAATTTTGGTTCCATAAACTTACATGTATTGTTTCTAGTAACAAAGCAAGTCTTAAGATGAAATTTTCATGTTACAGAACAAAAAATATCCTTCCCTTTTCCAGGGAGGCCATTTTCTCCCAACAACTCCCTACCAAGTAGAAATTTCATTCAAGTTTCATATAACATACTTTTTGTTTGTTTTGGCCATGAAGACCCCCTCTCCTTACAACTTTTCAAACAATGCAAATATCCCTTATGCAAAACTGTCTTACAACATAGATTTTAAGGCTCAGCAAGGGAAAATTGGCAAAAAATATACTTCCAGTCCTTCACATATAATATTGAACTGTCTATCCCCTACCACACAGAGAGAAAATAACTGGCAATGCAATTTTGCTTATCTGTGCAAATTAAGTTTGCTGTCATTAAGTTTCACAATCCCCAATAAGCAACAATGCACTCTGTCATACAGTGTAGGTGTGCTGTTACCACCCCTGAAATCCCCTTAGCAAAAACCTTGCATTCCTCCCTCTAAAACAATAAATTATGATCACAGTAAATGCAGGCATGTGGTATCTTTCTGATACGCTATCGTAATCAAAAAAGGCTACTAGTAGTAATAATTGATCAACAAGATTATTGTTTGTGTTTTAATATTGTTCTTCTTCACCTTCATCTCCACCTCTCTTGGAGCACCACCTCCCAAAGCAAACGATCTATTCTCTGTCACATTTTTTCCATTTTGTGTTTTTTACACAGTAAAATACAGTTTTAAAGATCCAGTAGAAAGTGCTGTGAGAAAAAGGGTAGTTCTTTAGGATGTTTTACTGCCCTTTTCTAATAGTACCACCTGTTATTTAAGAATTCCCCTTTCATCAACCACTTAAAAAATTATCTAATTCTCTTAACTATTAAAAGCTCACGCTCTAACATTGAATAACTCTAATATTTCTTTTACTCTACGCTCCTTGTAATTCTCTCACGTGCAATAAAAAAGAAAAATCAGCAAACCTACTAACCTTAACTATGCGACATCATGCCAGAGGGTCTTCGAACAGCAGAAGACTGAGCCCTTGCAGCAACTTCACGTCGAGTTTATAAAGCCTTCCAGCTGTTAACACTTTAAACTGTGACTATAAGTTTTTTTCTCCACGGAATTTCGCTCAGGATAGGCAATTTCGATTGATCACTTTGATGAATCAGAAGCCGCAAAAGCCAAACTCTTAAGTGACGTTCGATTACAAACAGCGAAAGACTCGCCATGACATTCCTCAAAACCATGCAGTTGAGTGGAAGTTTCTGCAACTTTACGGGGCGTGATACAGCCTTCCAGCGGTGAACACTTTAAACTGTGGCCATCGGCGTTTTCCCCATTCTATTCCGCTTAGGAAATTATATTTTGATTGATGTCTTCTCTAAATCAGAGGCCGCAAAAGCCGCAAAACGTTAACGACACTCGTTTTGAAACATCGCAAGACTCGCCATGACATTCCTCGCAGCTGCATGATATTTATCGTTAAAATAATACTAAAACTTCTTTGTTTGGTCATGACATTTGCTTGAAAGGCCGGCTATATACCTTCTTAACATTCTCGGCATTCAAGATACATAATTCCGTTAGCCTGTGGGTAAAAATAACGAGGAAACCAAATAGCATCGGGCGTCCATCTTTGTGCCTCGCGCGAAAACAGAGCAGCAAGTCTGCAACCGGATGTGATGTCATAAATCGGTGGATCATAGGTACACGAAATTTCGCTAAGTCGTGGCCCCCCCCTGGGTTCAATTATTAACATTGTTAATTTCTCTCGGATTTTCACAATTTACGTGTTTGTTTGCTTCTTAGTATCGTTTCATACACATATCAACTTTTCTATCACGATCACCTGGATTTGTATGGGTTTTAAGTAAATTTAAGTACATTTAATCAGCTATTCAAAATGGCAGATCCAAGACGGCAGATGGTTCTAGATACTTCTTTAATAACAATGAGGTCATCATCACATCAGTGAATGATTAAGCCAACTTCTTGATTTTGTCAGACTCCAGACCCCTTATTATTTGATTATTGCTCGGAGGGGAAAAATTGATGAAATCTGGATTCTACCAATAAATTCAACAATATCTCAGTTTTTGTAAATGATAAGTACATTATTCTGTGTAATTTTGGACGGTATCATGGACGGTTTTGAAATTATAGCGGTCGGCCTCTGAAGCCCCCCAGGTCACAGGAGGCAAAAAAACAGGATAATAATAGTAATAAAGCTTGGTCTGAACGGGGCCAAATTAATATTACATTCAAGTGATAAAAAATTCTGAGGAAAGTTCTTATTTAAAAGACTGAGTAAGTAGATGCACGTCCTTCGAATTTTCAAATAACGTCCTTTACAAAAAAAAATACTGTAAGTTCTGACGCGTTTGCTGATGCCTTAAAAGGGATAAGGTCAAAATGAGACGTAAGGTGTAAATATAACGTTTTCATAACAAACGAAGTCTTCACAAGAAACATTTGATAAAATCACCCTTTTCGTTTTCATTCTAAGACCTAAACCAAGGGTTACATTATCTTTCCGCTTATAAGATTTAGCTAAGATTTTGAAGCGGAACTTACATCCTAAAGAAATATTGAGAAACTCCTCCTGTATCTCTAGAAAGTTAAGGCAACATATATGCATGAGAAAACAGATAAAGTGTGTTCTGAGCGTTTACCTTTAATCTGATTGCTTTCTTGTTATCTATGTTTGTATTAAGGTGGTACACCTTATCCGCGAATAGCAGGACGGAAAATGGCTGAGTTACTTCTTGAAGGCTACAGAATGCCCAAGCCAAGTCATGTGGATGATGCTCTGTAAGTTTATAAACCAAATGGCTGGTAACCAAAATACTGAAGCCGTCAATCTTAACTTGTTAACATGGAGACAAACAATATGTGATTGAGCGATGACTTTTATAAAGAGGAAGGAAATTTTACTCAGTTCAGTGCGGTCTTTAATAACCAAGAAATATTTCCCCGGGCTTAAGGTACGACATTGCATGCAACAGCTGTGTAGAGCACTCCATGGGAGAGACGGCTAGAGCTCTGGGGAAGAGACTGGTCGAACACCAAAAACAAACAACATCCGCAGTCCAGGAACACCACTCTAAAGCCACCCATGAGATCGACTGAGAGGGGGTCAAGATCTTTGACCAGGAGACGGTGGACATCAAAAGAAAAACTCAAGGAGGTCATCCATATCAGACGCCAGCGTCTAACCCTAAACAAAGATGGGGTTACGAACTTTTAAACCACTTGTTGTCACGTGACTTATTCACGTGACAATACTGAGCGTTTATTGTTGATGAAGAATGTGAGATGCATTCGAAAGCTACGAGACTAAAATCTGAGACTTTTGGGACTAGAATTTATTTTTCAAAATGTAATATTTCATTGTTTAGTATTATCCGATTTGTAGCTATTTTGCTTGGAAAACTCCTGTATCATCCCTTCCTTAAGCCCAAGAGATCTGTTTCTATTTCTTCCGCTAGCTTAATCGAAAGGTTAAAAAGAGAAATCCAATGTTTATTCATAGATACCAGATGATGCTTAACTGTTGGCAAGAAGATCCTGATGAGAGACCAACATTTGAAGCTCTACGTCATGAATTAAAGGGGATGCAAAACCAAAATAAGGTGAAACAAACAAACACTCCATTAAAGAGAGAAGCTGAAACAAGCTGAGAGACAAAGGAATTAAAAAAAATTCATTCAAGCCTCTTAGCATTGGTCACCTTGATTACTGAGACAAGTAGATGGGTATTGTGGGGAGTTACGGATAAAACTATTTTTAGGAAAAAGCTAGAACATTTGTTTCTAGTTCTTGTTCACTAATTTATGGCGCTCAAATCGTGCATATTATGATTAATGAGTTTGAAGGGAAACTAGCTCTCTAACTCCCTATTTCGCTCCTTTTCAGATTTTCTTTTTCTCTCCACAACAACCAGCACCACATTTCTGTTGTTTCCCTCCACCACCACATTTTTTTCACGAGATTAAGACAAAAGGCTATGACGATCTTCCTGCGTTTATGCATTCCTGTCCTCCTAATGAGATTCCTGCCCAAAAAAGGGTAACTCCGTGCAACCTGTACTACTTATTATTAGATAGAAAAAGTGAACTTACATTTTAAAATGTTTCGTTCGGCCAGTTTACCGTGTAATTTTTACTCAACTAACGTCCATGGTACAGCAAACCAGAGCGATAATTCTATGTATGAACCTGAATGATGTTTTGTGAACATTGGAAGGTCGGTTAAGATGTTCTGTTTTTTACTTACTTGATTTTCTTTTTGTAGATGGGCATTTTGGGGAGGTACAGGTGAAATACTTCATTAATTTTCAGGGGAAAATTTTTTAAATGTTTAATTGAATAACTCACTTGCTTCTCAGAGTAGTATGAGGCGCAGCGAATTACCGTTTTTGGTCAGGAATCTCATTAAGGAGGCAGAAATACATGAACGTCCAGGACGTCATAGCCTGTTCTCTTTATGTCATGAATGAAATGCGGTGGAATTTCATTAGGATAAGGTCATGGACAATTTTTTTAGGTGGCATACCTCGACAGGTTTTAGATAGAATGTCTCGTTTTTTGTTTGGTTGAGTTAGACACTAAGTAAAGTATTCATTGGTTGATTTCTTAGTTCTAGTGCACTGATTTTTTGTCACTCAAATCATGAATATTACTCCACTGCTCTTCCCTCTATTCCACAATCCAGTTATGTGGGTCCTGCTCAAATTTTTGTTTCCCTCCGCCACCACAACTATCACTACACCTCTATTGTTTCCCTCTATCACCACCACCACCGCCACCACCACTATTTTTTGCATGAGATAAAGACAAAAGGCTATGATGTCATCGGCGTTCATATTTTCCTGTCCTTGTTAAATTAGATTCCTTTCCACAAAAGGATAATTCTGTGCACCCTATTCTA